GGTGCAAGCCACGAGGTGAACAACGTATGACTTGACAAAATGTTGTGAAAGAGATTACGAAGAGTTAAGGTGTTGGTGTGGTGTGCTTTCCAGGGTGGAGTTCTCGTGACACCCCTGTGCTTGGCTGAACACTGCAAGAAATGACGACTGATCAATGTCAATGACGTCTGTGCTCTTGATTCCTTTCCAGATCATTGATTGTTGATCAGGTGGCTGTTGATCTGTTCGCCGAGCTTGGCAATTGGCTTGCAAACGTCTCGTCACCATACGAGGAGACATCATCAGTGCGCAGTTGAGTGGGTACTTCTTCCTTGCCTGCGTGCGCTTATATAGCATTCGAGGGCTATCTGTTATCTTCTGACGTGATTGGCTACTTAAAGTGTAACAAATTTGGTGAATCTATTGGTCCATTTGTGATCTTTGTTGCGTTGTGGTCTGCGTTCCTTTGTGTCGATTGGTTACCCTCACGCCTTCTATTTTTAGTAGTTCGTTCTCTTCGGCCTCGGTTTGTATTGCGTTGTGGTCTGACGCTCTTGAGTTTGATTGGTTGCTTGTGCCGCCCTATTTCCTCCACCGTAGCGGTCAGTGGCCCTTCGTCCGTCGGTTGATTTGGTGCTTTGATTGGGCGCTTCCTCCGATCCAATTGATGTGTCCGTTTGAATGATGTTTTCCTCCTTCTCTTATGATTTCCTCATCTGGTTGATTTTGCAGCCTTAAGTTCGGTGGTTCTGGAGTTCTCTCGCTCTTAGTGGCTGGTAAATGGGATCAATTTCGATGTGTTTGTTGATCGCCTCTTCGGTGGAGTACCATGCTTCCATAAATTCGCGTTCGTTTTTGTTCTTGCTTGAGCCAATATGCAGACGCCGCTCCAGTCGAACTCGTGTCCTTCCTGCTCTTTGTGTGCGGAGATGAGGGAGAACTGATCGTGCCTCTTAGTGGCGAGCTTGTGTTCATGTATTCTGGCTGAGAGCTTCCTTCCTGTTTGTCCTACATACCGTTTGTCGCAGTCCTTGCATTGGATCCTGTATATGACATTGTTCTTCGCCATTGGATCTAATTTCCCTTTTGGTCTTGATAGTGTCCTCCTTAGAGTGCTCGCAGGCTTGTAAGCGACCAATATATTGTGCTGTCGTAAGAGCCTTGCCGTCATTTCGGCGGTGTTCTTGATGTACGCAGGCAAGGAAGAAGTACCCACTTAACTGCGCACTGATGATGTCTCCTCGTATGGTGACGAGACGTTTGCAAGCCAATTGCCAAGCTCGGCGAACAGATCAACAGCCACCTGATCAACAACCAATAAACTCACCCGAGCTACCAATATTTCAACAAATTACCAACTCCTTTCCAGATCGTCTAACTAAGAACATGTAGTCGCAGGCACTCCAGAATACTCAAAATAGCTGAGCACCAGGTCCCTTCTTCACACACCCTTTTTTCGCTCTAAGACATGAGGAGTGATTAAATGGATTTTTTGGCTGTACTGTAGTGAAGCACTAATGTCAACACTGATGTTGCTGATGGTCCCTGATAGAAGTGATAATTTCCAAACAGAAAAGCTAGTAACTCCTCGGTGATGTGGGGAAATGCACCCTGTTCTGACTGTCATAGAACTCCCAACCTAGCATGTTATCCGCATAACTTCATAAATTGGTCCGGCCAATGAGAGGTCACGCATATGTCAGCTACTTTTCAGAAATTCACTTGTCTGATTCTTGATTGATCGCTTACCTGAGGCTCTCTCGCAAGAAACAGCAATGAAATATATCAACTGCATTGCTCCGGTGACCTATTGGCTGGCGTTTGGACGTCTTTTAGACTGGGTGGCAGTCAACTGAGCAGTAAAATTGACTGGTTTCTGTGAGCTTCCGAAAGGGAGAAATGAAAACGCTGAATGTTATCTGAATCCTCAACCCAGTGGATCCCCTCAGTGCTTTGACAGAAATGTAGTTCCGATGAAAGTGACTTCTTTGATTCTCATAGCGAAATTGAAACGACTTATTTGTTCTCAGCAGACAATACAGGCAATATAAGCCATACCACACATCTTGTGGTTCGCAAGCAACTATTAAAGAACTGAACTAGACCGACGATATCGCTCAGAACCATCAGTGCATAGGCTCAGTCTGAGACTGTGTCTCTTACCACAATTCTTGTCTGAACTCGAATGATCTGTCTCTGCGGAAATCAAATCAGTCAGCTGAATAGAAAAGTCTCACCTGAACAAGATAATCAGGTAGTTATTGTTCTTGAAGAGCACCGATCAAGCATTTAGCAAGCGCTTCAGTGCCGTGATTAATGTTTATGGCTAACCGCATAAGCACATCCTGAACAGCTCCCGAAAAGCCGATGAGGAGACCATTCGGGTTAGTTTTCCGATTCTCCTAGAAAGCATGACATAAACAAGTCGAACTGATGGGGTGAGCCTGGGTCACTTATAAAAGTCGTCGTTTTTTTATGAACAATGCGGTCCAATAGTTCATCATCATAGTCAGCAAGCATAGCAGGGAGAGAACTGCACACCAGAGAAAGATCAGCAATGATCACCCCCACTATCTACGTGCATCTTACACTTGAAACAACGCGCACTCAAAGAAGTAACCCAACATAAAGCCTGTCTTGACAGCTGAGAGTAAAATTTCGGCATACAACTTTAATCCATCGGACCGCATTCCAAAAATGCCTTTGAAGTATAATTTACAAATTACCGTGACTTGGTTGGAAGAGGCAGTATGGAGAACAATCGAAAATGTAGAATAATGATGTGAAGAGAATAACGAATGGGTTTGGTTTTGGTCAAGCCCGTGTGCCCAACAGACTGGACTACAAGAGATAGCAAGCGCTTGGTAGATATTGCGCTGAATGGAACCTAGTGCAACCTCCTTGTTCTCTTTTTCAGACTGATTACAAACCCGTCGGTTACAGTGGCCGATTGGTGACAGTTAACGTTCAGCGATGGAGATCCTTTGACCTTAACCTCCAATACATCCGGTGTGGTCTTGATAAAAGCGCGTCCGTCAACGACAGCACTAAGAACGCTGTACTGTTTTCAACCGTAGACATTGTGCTCAGTGGACAAAGGTGACTGACGGTCACCAAACCGCCACATAAATTTTTGAAATAATATCTTACTTCATAGTGCTAAGCAAAATTAAAAAGCTCTCTACTGACGGATAAAATCCAGGTAGCTGTGAAGAGAACGCCGTGCATATTTGGGGTCTTTATATCCGTCAACATTGCCTGATGGATACTCCTTTATTTGTACGTTCATCGCACATACCCGTGTGAGCTACGAATCTCACACAATGAGCATTCTACTGCACGCTGTAGACACTACTTAATATGAAAATATATACTCACTACTGGGAAGGAGTACTCGCAACTGTTGCAATTACGGCTAAACGGAAATTCGGTGAATTTATACGGATGAGCATCGGCAACCGTGGACAATCGTTCGCGCAATAGTTCTCCAAAAACGGGACACTTTGGGACCACTCATCACACCGTTCGCGCAATCTCGGATACTCACAAGAAGATGTGGCCATCGGTCCTTCCACAGCGGACGAAGAGGAGACATGGAACAGCCGAATCGAATTCAAACCAAAACGTATTGAGCCAACAGCAAATATCTTGTCTTGCTGCTTCATCCAGCTTTAATAGCCCACTGGTCAACATGCTACTTGGTTCGTCGTTGTGTGACGAATCAATCGGGTTTCACATGTGTGTCAGTTGGGTTCAACAGTGAGTAGAAAACTACCAGATACTGCTGGACGATATACGGGTATTGCGTTTCTAGCTACTTGAATGTGGAAAGTAGTATGCAATGGATCCAGCAAATGCTTCAATAACGCCCTTCATCCATCACTGGCCAACTGCTGGTACACTCTTTTCTCATGGTTGAGTTAGTTAAACATCAGTTCATGCGGATAGCTTCCAGGTAAGTCTGATCATGAGGACTGTCCAATGGTTATTCCACACTTCTCAAGATTCTGATTGAAGGCCTTGTAACCATTTATCAATGAGGCTTGCATTTGGAAGTGGCGAATGGACAGACGTGTATACTCCTGAAATGTGGTAAAATGGTAGGTCAAAAGGACAGCCGCCTAATCCACAAACGCGGGAGAATTTGGTTGCTTTGACTTAGATGTCCCTGAGATCAGAATATAGATGCTGTTTACCAAGATTTACGCAAATGCTATTACAGGCCATCCACGCCGTATCATGGATAAATCGGCCTGGAATATCGGCTATGAAAAGTGCATTGCTGTCTGCTTGTCAGATCAGCCAAATTGGTCAACTGTCCAAAGAAACCAGTGTAGAATACTGTCTTAGGTACAAGACTGCCCCTATATCTTCAAAATAAAGCAATCAACCTGGTTAGATAAGGAAACAGGTAAGATGGCTGTGTCGCTCCCTTGATTCTATCGTGCACTGTGAATAAAAGAATGCAGTAACGACAATAACAAACACTCTAGGACAAGTGATTCTTCATCGCCCCGCCAGTCAATTTGATTTTTTTGAGAAGGCTAAAAAATTTGCTCATCTAAACCTGAAATGCCAAACAGCCTACACTTCGAAAAGAGCTTTAATATTGCGAACAGTGAAGGAAGCCCGTATACTAGCAATATTCACAGAGGTTCTGCCCAATTTACCCGTCGGTGTCACGTGATTGACAGGTATGACGATACAGAATCGACTTTGAATAGGAAAGATCTTCTTGTCTGACAAAGCCAACCAACAGCTCATCGAAAACGCAATGCAGTGTTCCAGTTGTTAGTTAATAAACCAGAAGGAACTCAGTCCGGTCTTCAGAAACAAAAGTTAGGATCAATTCAAAAATTGACACAATATATTGCATCAACGCAAGTGAAGGAACCAAGGACACTGATTCGGGGAAACTGTGAATGACCAGACGAAATAGGTTTGTGCTCAACTGGTGTGTAGGAATATGTTTGGCTACCCAAAGTATACATGGGAACAAACTCAAGATAAGCTCATTATAATTACTCTCTCCGACTGACCCACATTGTCGCAATTTTCTGCAATCGCTTTATTGTAGCAGGTGACTGCCACACTACTGAACGACTCCGAGGTTTTTGAAATGGCCTCATGGGTACATGCGAATCTTGTATGGAGAAGTCCTTTCCCAATTCAGCTCGCTTTGGGGGACGCTCACGTTTCGGGATAGAACAGAGTCCCTGTCTACGGAAATCAGACGAGCGTTTAAGCGACAAACTTTGCTGTAGGCTACTCACTGGTTCAATCACCGAATCACGCAGTTTCAGACGCTGGCGATTCAAAGCGTTATTTTGTACCATACTAGGTAAGGCCCTCTTCGAGGCCAAGATGGCGGAATTTGCGGGCCACGGATCAATTGGCCGTTTTGTCATGGTGGAAGATCGCGGGGCCAAGCAGTGTGACTCTCGCCTTGCGCAAGTTAAACGGTGACGTCGACCTGATAACAGTTCAAATTCGCGGGGAGATAGACCATCTGCCGAAGTCGTGCTTTCATCAAAATGATTAGTATCCGAATCAAGTTTACGAATGCTTCTGTGTCGTTTACTCGAAGATTTAGTCCGTTTTGTGTGAGAAGAGTCATGTTTATGGATCACCACAGAACTGTGATGAGTGTGGTGTTTCGAACTCGTTCGCTGCATGTAATGGTTCATTTTGTCTCGAGGCCTTCGACTGGAATGCCCGTCTGCATGACCATGAGGATTAGTATGACCACTACGTTCACTTTTACTCGGATTCGAATAAGTTTTTTCAGCAGTTTTTTCATTTGCCATCGATTCTATTGGGCTGAATATTTGTTCCGGAATTTCCGTGAGATCCCTCGGCATAACAGAATAGAACTCCTTATTCTTTGAAAGCCATTCCGTCACCTTCTGTTCGGACAAGGTTCGATAACTTCGCTGCTCACGAAAAAGCAACTTTAATCTGTCTGGTTGATTATGTTCACGAGCGTTTGTGTTTGTAGCTTCAGTATGTCGATGCCGTCTCGTGCGTCTGGTCTGGATTGGTTTGTCATCGGTAGTTGAAGTGTACGAAGTACCGGATTTCTGGTCAGGTGAGGACAATTGAGAACCCATTCTGAGGTGCCGTTTTGAGGCTCTCATTTGGCAGACCCAGATTATACCGTTTTCATTAACATTTTTTGTGCTTGTCCGGGGAATCAGAAGCTCCACGCAGATCGATCAGGGCATTCAAATAAGCGGACCAGCTTGGGTCACGTGCCGGACGACATTTGGACACACGTGTTGAAAATGAAGCCCACAAGAAATGCACAGTGAAACTGACAAGTAAGTCAAATTACACTCTGTCATTACTACCAGTCTCCAAAGAAGAAAGGTTCTTAATCATCCGATAACTTACCGTTCACACAAGACAGCTAGCTTCTATCTCCTTGTTAGTTCCAAATATTCAATAAGTACTAAAAATCGGAAACCCGTCTGAGTTAATTGCACTTACGAGAAACGGCTTTCCCCTAAAAATACTGAATTTTTCGAGCATAAGCGTTAAGGACATATTTTGGCACCGCCGGAGACCAAATCAACTACAATTTCTTTACCTTCTACCTCGATACATGTGGAAAAATGAATTCCTATGGGTTTGTAATTATCAGGTGCACTTTTCAATGTGCTTTTGGTCAGAGATCTGCAAAATCTGCGAATACAGGAATTCGCCTATTTGTTCATTCATACCAGTGATTTAAGATTCTTGTTCACTCTGTCTCCTTTCATCAGTTATCAGGGAAGTTAAAACATGGATCTCGTACGCCTTCCAAATAGATTGATCCCTTGTTACCTTACACGATGAGCAGACTTTGAATTCCTTCGGTTCAGCATACCAACAGTTATCCGTCAGCCGCTGGAAATACAACCCATATGATGCCCGATCCTCATGGCTATCAGTCAGATGTCAGTCGTCTTGTCGCGCGTATCCCCTGAAAGGTACAGCGACGGGTACAAGAGTGCCCGAGACACAGTAGGCACTGTATTATGGCCCTGGTAACGGCAGACACACCATTCTCGTAACACTAGATCAACGTTTGTTGTCCTTATCTGAGCGAAGACAAGGCATCGTTTGTAGTGGGCGAAAGCCCGTCCTCCCTACAACCTTGCGACTAGTTCCATAACAGGCCTTTAGCTGAACAAAGGTCCAGGACCTGTTTCACATTTTACCGCTTTCATGACGACCTCTAAAGGCCGGAAAATTGTCAGACAGCGTTTACACATATTTGCCAACTAACGTAACAGAGAGAGAAACGCTGAATTGGAAAAAATATAACGAAAGTGGGCTCAGATAAGTCACAAGGTGAGGTTTGTCAGACTCACGCCCCAACAACTGCTTGGGGAAATAATGCTTATACATGGGCTTGTATTATATATATATAT